TTTTTTTTTGTCTTCCAGACTGTGTTACAGATGTGTAGCGATGTCTCAGGATTATGTTTTTCAGGGAATATCACAAAACGTGTACCTGACCCTAAAGCTAAACTAATAGAATCAAAAGAAAAAAATCAATACAACTATTTAACATAGTGCTCTCTTGCTTGATTTAAACACATATATTTAAAAAAAAAAAGATTAAAGGATATTGTAGGTATAATGGAGCAGAACTGACATTTTTATCATCACAGAGGTTGTCTACTTAACAAAGAAGTCACAGGGAAGAATACAACACCTCATTTAGTTTAAACTCTTTAGATCTTTCCTCATGTTTTAACTTGGCACAGAGGAAACTGAACAGTTGCACAGTGTAGATGAAATCATACACATTTTCCCGTCCTGATGAAATACAAAAGAATGTTATAAGCACACAACAGAATAAGTGGAGTTTATGGGTAAGCAAGTCTATTTTTGTATCCAACTCCTTTGTATCTCTCTCTCTCTTAACTGTCTCTTTCAAAGTAAGCTGGTGAATAGATGTTATATTCAAGCTTTTGGCTGTTGAATGAATATCCAGTAGGAGACAAGAGCTGAAGATGTGAAGATATGAAGGCTGAAGGGTGAATCATAGAATGGTTTGGGTTGGAAGGGACCTTAAAGATCATCTAATTCCAACCCCCCTGCCATGAGCTCTCAGAAATGTTTCTGGTTCCTTACATTACCACAGAGGTCTGTAGAATAATAGCATGTGTTTATGTAATTAAAAGACTACATCATGATCTACAACACAGATTGGGATGGGGGAAAACAAAGGCAACCTTTTATTTTCTAGCCTTTGAAAGTAGATTTTGTAAATTACCAATGTCTTAGTAGAAAACATATAGCAATTTATTAAACATACTTAAAAACTGTCTGCTGGTGGTGCTGCTACCCATACCACTTTCCTCCCAGTCTGAGCCAAGGCAAGAAATTGTAGCAATAGAAAGCCATTACTTTTTATGTGGACTGTTACTAAAGCTTGTCATTGGATTCAGTTATTTGTTTTCTTGCCAAAGACTGAGTAATTTTATGTTGAGTTCCAAGTTCTGCAGTGGAGTGTGCTCTACTGATTATAAATTATTTTTATACTCCGCTTCTGGCCTTCATTCTGATCTTAGTGTCTGGGGTTTTGTTTTTGGTTTTGTTTTTTAAACAGCCTTTGGCAGCAGTAGGAAAATGGGAGGGAAAGTTTTGTTTGGCCTCTGAACTCTAGCATGGAGCCTGCTCAGTCACTCTGCAGGAACAGCCCAATCCAGTTAAACTCTAACTTTCTACCGAGCTTATGTAAAGTGCATTTCTTCCAAGGCTTATACTGGGTCCAAATTGTATTGAATCTTAACAGATACAGCAAGAGAGGTATGCTGACAAGCATGTCTCATTGGTGTCCCAATTTTGATTCTCTCCTTCAGTGTCTGGAAATGCTAAACCAGGTTTTCTTCCTGCAAAAATGTCATGTTTCGGGCACTTCTGATCCGGATTCGGATTCTGATTCAGACACTTCTGATTCGGACAAATTTGAGCCTGAAAAGAAAAACTCAGACTCATGGTCCAAAACAATGAGGAATAGATGCATTAGTTATTGGAGGTGTTAGTTAAAATATTTGCAAGGGTCCAGTTCTTGCTTTGCCTGAATCAGATTAGAACATGCATTTCTCACTAAGCAGATGAGTGTCCTAAACAGCACTATTGGCTATCCTGCACTGAACTTATAAATTCCTCTTCTTTTACTGGCATTCTAGATATCTTATTGATAAAAAGTGTATCACAATGTTTGATTCTGACAAAATATCTTGGTTTTAATGGATCTGTCAGTTTTCAACAGTAAAAAAATTATTTTAAAAAATCTTAATCTCTGCTTTTTAAACGACATATTTCCATATTCACTGTTTTCTTCCTTTTAAATGTATTAGCGTGGAATTGCTCAGACTGGTGGAAAAATGCAAAATCTATCACGCTTCTGACAAGGAGAATACAAAGAGGTTCCCACTTTGGACTCTATATGGACACAAACTCCAAGAACATAATCAACAGAAGCTTTCCATTAAAGTAATTGGAAGTTGCATCAGGTCTTAGCTTTCACCAAAATAAACAATCTAATCAACCTGAACAGAAGGAGCAGAAAATATAACATGAATGGTACCCAAAATTTTTCCTCCAACAACATGTCTTTTTTCATATAACTGTAACTGATATTTTAAAAGCTACCTTTTCTCAGTCTTCTTTCAACACAGCTGAACTTCCACTACGGCAATGGAATGTTAAATGGGTATTGCAAAATGGATTGTTATCTTGTTCTTTCTCTCTCCCTCTCCCAATCAAGATTAGCCAACTCCTCATTAACATAAACTATGTATAAGATTTCTAAGGGTTTTCTAAAGACTGCAGGTTCTGTTTCTCTTGCAGTTACAGCAGAGTCTTGGACCGATGCCTAGAACAGACCCCAGGTCTTAGCTTTCACCAAAATAAACAATCTAATCAACCTGAACAGAAGGAGCAGAAAATATAACATGAATGGTACCCAAAATTTTTCCTCCAACAACATGTCTTTTTTCATATAACTGTAACTGATATTTTAAAAGCTACCTTTTCTCAGTCTTCTTTCAACACAGCTGAACTTCCACTACGGCAATGGAATGTTAAATGGGTATTGCAAAATGGATTGTTATCTTGTTCTTTCTCTCTCCCTCTCCCAATCAAGATTAGCCAACTCCTCATTAACATAAACTATGTATAAGATTTCTAAGGGTTTTCTAAAGACTGCAGGTTCTGTTTCTCTTGCAGTTAC